ATTTTTATTTTTTATGTGTATGAGTGTTATGCCTGCATGTAGGTAAGTGCACCCATGTCATGCAATGCTCACGGAGGACAGAGGAAGCTGTCGGATCCCCTGGAATTGGAGTTATGGGCAGTTGTTAGCTGCCATGTGGGTGCTGGGATTCAAACCTGGGTCTTCTGCAAGAACAACCAGTGTTCTTAACCACTGAGCCATCTCTCCAGACCCTCATATGTAATTTTTAATAACAAAGTTTCCTTTGGTCTAAAACAAAAACTAAGATTGTTTGGGGGGAAAGTTTAAGATCAATTAGTGTCATGACAAGCAGAGACCCAGAGGAAACCTGGACAGGCTGGAGAAGTGGTGCAGAGATTTCCATCTAAGAGGCCCCCAGGCCAGGACTCCAGGTACTTGTGGGTAGCACCTGCCCCACTGTAGCAGAGGGCAGGGATCTGTAGGCTCAGCTGTAGCCTCACTTGGGATCAGACACTAACATGATTTCAGATGATGGTACCATCTTCTGGGACTTAGTTACCTGATCCAGCTTTCTGATTTAGTGCACTCCCTTTATAGGAAAGAGACCCTAAAAAGCATCCCAACATGGCCTATGGGATGAAGGACACATCTGCCCCAGTCTTTTCCTAGGTTATAGTAAAGATTCTGACTAGAGCTTGGCACAGAGCTAGGAAGTGGGCAGTGCTCAGGGACAGCTTCTGGACCTATGGCTGCCCTGGAAGCAGGGAGTGGGCAGCTACCATGTGTTTGCAGTTCTACTGACTTGGGCTACCACAGAAGAGGGAGCAAGAGAGGGTAAAGTCTACACCATTGGCAGAAGCAACCACATTTTAGGTAGCTGAGTCAGCTCTACAGCAGGCCTTGTACAGGGGATTCTCAGTAAAGTGACACAAATGAATGAGGAAACGCTCTAGGAATTCACCTCTTCAACCACAGGCCTATTACCAAAGGAAAACATTAATCACATGGGAGTGGTGGGAGGTAATTTGGCAGTTACATCATCATTTTAAATGGCATAGAATAGTTAGACAACATTCAACATTGGCTACAACCTACTAAAAGGAATCAACTTTAACCCTCTTGGTTCCAGGGAGCTGTTCTGGGAATGTTTTCTGACTACAATGCCTGGTTGAATCTTCCTTACTCTCCAAGTAGATTCAGCCCAGTGCTCTGTGTCAGGCTTAAGATTCCCACCCAAGCATCATAAAGGCCTCCTTATTACTTAGTGAGAAAACAGGCTGACATAGGGTCTTGGCACGGCCAGGTGCAGGACTGGGTCTACAAGTCAGGCCTCCTGAAGCAAGGGCCTGTGTGTTATTTTACTAGCACATTCATTTAATTTTTCTTTGTAACATATCTAATCTTGGGACACAGTGATATGAGGAGTTGCTCTAGAAATGCTCACATGGGTCCCTCCCTCTGATAAAACAAATTTCTGAGTGGACAGGACTCTGACCTTGTTGAATAACCAGTGCAGTAACAGAAGCAGCAGCTGATGCTCCTTCTGTGCTGTCTACACATAAAGAGCTTTGCTTGTATCAACCCTTTTCCTGAAGATGACCCTGTACAGCAGGGTCTGCTCTTATCTACCATCTTCCAATGAACAATCTGATCCAGTGTCCCTTGCTCAGGTTGTGGGGCCACATTTGAACCCAGCAAAGGTTGATGAGCCAGGAGATTTGCTGCTCCCTCTCATCAGCAGTAGCAGGGCCAGGAAAAGCTGAGAGTTCTGGGCTCCTGCTTGTTACCACTCTGCTGAGGGAGTCATGTCTCTTATCTACTTATCCATCCCTCCGAGCTCATTTCCCCTTTTGAGAAACAAGTCCTGATGACTATCACCCCGTTTCTTGTTGGGAGGCTCAGATGAACAAAGTACTACCTCAGTTCCCTAAAAGCCAAATGCTGGTAACAAGTATAAGGCAGACTTCTGTGCTATCTTTTTTTCTGCACATGTTCCTGGTTCAGCTGCTCACCCACTCATGAAGGCTGATGGGGACTAGTTTTGATGCTGATACCAGTGAGTTCGTTAAACCTGGAAAGCTGTACTCATGAGGGTATTGTGAGGGCAAGACAGCATGGTGCACTTGCAACACTTATCTGTCACCAGCTCCAGGAAGTCTCTGAAACTGGGACCAGCTACAGTGGAAAGCATGTTCTAAGGAGCCTTGCATTTGCAGCACACCCAGCATGCAAATCAGGCCAAGGATTTTGGCTGATTCAAAGGTTGATAATACAGCATGGCAGCAGCATGTAGAGTCCCCAAAGGCAAAAGGCCAGGGGGGAGCGGAGCAGGCAGAGGGCAGGGGCTAGGGGCTGATTGGGAACCTGCTGAGGAAGGTGGGGGCTGACTTCCCAACCTTCACATGAGGAGGCCAAGGGATGTGTCACCCCAACCTTGGGCAGCCACTTCAGGGGTGCTATCATCTAAACAGTTGTGTGCCTGCTGCTATGGAAACTAACAACCTTTCTTTTCTACATATAGAATGAAGGGTTGGGTCACATGATTTCTAAGGTTCAACTGGGTCTCCAGGTGCTACCATCTTGATCCAGACAAGCAGCTTCTGATGACTTCATCCACATAGCCCAGACACAAGATAATTCATGGACAACCCTAGGACTGCTGGTGAGAAGCCCATGTGAGCTGTACCCCACAGCCTCACACCTGCTCAGGTCAAAGCAGGGAGCAGAGACATGAGCAGGCACATAGATAAAGCACACACAAAACAGGAGCGTGTTTGACCTGGCAACTTGCTTTAGGCCTTGGTAGGCCAAGCCGAGTTCTCCATCTTCATTCAAATATCCCCAATCCTCAGTTTGGCTAGAAATAAAGGACAGAAAAACAGGGTGTCCAGTAGAGAGGAGAGAGGCATGCAGACAGACCAGGAATGTGGAGTGATGAGAGCCAAGTTTGGGGTCAGGAAAAAGACAAAGACTACAAGCTCTGTTTCCCCTATTCCTCTCTGGCTCCCAAACTCTGGGTGCTCGTAGACAGCATCCTCCTCCCGTTTCCCAGGTTTCAGGCACTGTCTGGGAAAGAGGTTCATGTGGTTTCATAGATGCCCAATAATAAACACAGATCAGGTACATGCTGCGAAAGAGAGCAAAGAGCTATTTGTTCTCATAACTCTCTGAAGATGCAACAGCACAGGCTGGCCGCAGCATTTCCACGGCTCACACCCATCATGCTGCTTCTGTCCAAAGGAGTCAAAGGACCAAGGAGAAGGGCAAACAGGGCTGGGAAGAGAGGACACCATGTGTGCATGGGGAGCTGCAGGTGATAAGCAGGCCCCCAAATGTAACTGGAGACACTGCACCACAGAACAGCAGATGAAGCATCCTGGGGACGCTGGCCTCCACCAGGACAAGGAAGGAAGCTGCACATTTTGCTTAATTTTTCACGCACATCTCATTTCTGTCGTTCTTTAAGGGCACAGAGTCACTTGCCAACCTTAACTCCCGTTCCTCTCGCAGAATCTTGTATAAAGCAAACACAAAAATGCTACAACAAATTTATAGGCCATGACTGACTCTTGTCTTAGGTCACACTCAGTCTGGGAAAGGAGGAGCCCCAATATTCTTCCTGTAAACTGTTATCTCCAAGTCATTCAGTCTGCCTGGTGTCAGCTACAGTGGCTCCTGGAGGTCATTGGGTCAAATGTTCCTCACCCAGTGCCTGCCCACTTCAAACACCCCTGGGCACACAGAGAGCCTCAAAGGCCAGTGGGGCTGGTGGCAGTAGACACATATCATAGGATAGGAGCTATATCCACATTGCCTGCTAAAGAACCCACTAACCCCTTTCTAGCCCCCATACTGCAAGCCAAATAGCTCCTGCCAGGTGTTGGGTGAACTCCAGGGGCTCTAAGTACCCATTCCAGAGCTCAGCCTACAGCAGGAGGTCACCAGACTCTACAGTGCTCAAATGGGTTGTTTCTTGGGCTGAGGTGCCCACATCTGTACCAAGCCCTCTCTGAAATTCTGGAGGACAGGAGGGAAGATAGTGAAGATATTTCTGGAACCTCACCATGGCTTCTGTCCCCAGTCTAGGCAGTAAGGCCAAGCCCTTGGTCTACCTTCCGTTCTCAAATGTTAAGGCTTGCATTTTGCTAGGTTCCTTTGTAGCAATGCTTTGGCCTAAGGAGGCCCCAGAGCTGTAGGAGTTCTTGGCAGCGCCCAGAAGGGGGTGCAGCAGGGCCAGAATGAAGGCCAGAATTTCCTGTGCTGCATGCAGAGAGACGCTGATATCTTTTGCTGGAAACCCAATCTTCCTTTGAATTTTTCCCAGCCTTGGTGGCTACTCTTTAGAGCCTGGGAGGGACTACTGGGTCTTGTCAGAGCATTACCTCACTTTGACAGCTCTCATGCTTTCCACATGGGTGATGCTCAGTATATGTCATGGAAGTTAGCTCAGCCTACATGCCACTAGCTTCACAGGAAAACTGTCACATACCAGGAGTTATGGAGAAAGATAAAACATAAGAACTCTGCACCCCAGGCACCCCACAGTACTCATGGAAATAGGCACACAAATAAATTAAAAGCCAGCAAATCAACTCATAGGAGTTATAGACCGCTATACCTGGCCAGGGAAAGAGTAACATCTGGTTTGAAGAGGAAAAACCCAAACAACTCAGCTTTTAGGAATTAATTTTTAAAAATAAGTGCTTAATATTAATTAAAATCAACAAATATTCACCGAGTATCCTGTGACTAGGCCACTGTGCTGAACGCTATTCCTGAAGCAGTTAGACACAAAAGAAGGAACAGCAAGGTAGCCAGGCCAGCTGTTCTGTGTGGTCTTGGAGCCTTGCCTGGACTGCCTGCCTACACTTCCTGGCCAAACTTTCCACGTGTCAGGTCATTATGGCAAGCTGGATGATCTCAAAGGTATTTTCTACATCTTTAATTATTAGCTATTTCTCATGTACCAGAAAAGGCTCTGGAGAAGATGTACCTCCCCTCTGGAGACCTTGGAAAACGGGACCCAAGAACTATACTCTGACACATCTCCAGCCAGCTTGGGGATGGCCAGATTCTTATGCCTAGGAAGATCCCCATGTGCTCTGAGGGTACAGACTTCTTTAGTTCATGCTGCTTTTTCTACTCAGCAACTGACGCAGGATCATTGCTGGGATCGCTGAGAAGTGGAGACGGCACCCTAGACACAGGGAACCCAGAGAAATGTCTGAGGTTACAGCCTGGCCACATGAGGAGAGCTCTCTATGGGGAGCTAGGCACAGCACTGAGAAGACATGTGCACCTGCCCCAGTGAGAGCTAGCACCTCAGATGATCTGCTCCAGCTGGAGTGGTGATAACAAAGCAACTCCTCGCTGAGGCTCCTGCTGTTTCCTGGGGCTTAAGGCTAAGTCCAAGAATGTTCCCCCTGACTTGATTTGGAGTTCTCCAGTCTTGGCAAGGCTTTGATGGAAGTGGCAAAGGAATACTGTTCTTGGAGCCAAACCTAAGCTGAGCCCCAGCCATACTTGTTGCCTAAGTCCTAACCTAGCTCTGTGATCTGGAGAGACTGTCTAGAGGAGGCTGGCCTGGGAGCAGCAGCAAGCTCTCTCCCAGTCACTTCCCATCCTCCCAGAGCCAGCAAGGAGGACAAGAGACTTCCACCCTGGCTTCCACAGCCCCTCTTTCCCTCAACTTTCCCACAGGTAAAGTGGTTGTTAACAATGCTGGTTTCTCCTAGCTCCCAAGATGTCAGCGTGAGAAAAATTGCAGAGGGAGAGGTTTCCACACCCCAGAGGCAAGGCAGAGCAGGCCTCAGCACTGCTTCCCTGCAGGCCTAGAGTCCAGGGGGCAAATGCAGAACACGCAGAACCTCTGCATATCTCTTTAGGCTGCGAAACTCAGCAAATGAAAAGAGTTCTGAACTTGGTGACCACAGATGCTTCAAAGACTATGATCAAGATGTATAGAACTCCCTAAAAATCCAGCCAAAAGCCAGCATACGTGCACATTTTCTAGGAATAGAACAGATTTCACCAAACTTCTAGGGGAACTCTGCCCAATCACACATGCACAGCCACAATTTATATGTATGTAAAGCTTTCCATTACAGGTCAAACACAGGAAAGGCATGGCAAATCTCTATCTTCACAGCACCCTTGTTGCAAGGGGATACCTGTTTGGGGTCCCCAGAGTCACAGCCAGACTCCTCTTCCTTGTCAATCCACCCAGCCACTCTCCTACGCAATGCTCACGTTTGTTCTAACTAAAAAATTTTCTCAAAGCCAAGGCTGACACCAAACTGGCAGAAACAAAACCAGCAGTCACTTCCGTGGTATCTAGTGTGGCAGGCACCGGGACTGGGTCCTCAGATCTCTACTGTCCTTGGCAGATATTCTTTTCTTAACTGTTCTCAGCTATTAGTTGACTATTGCTTGCTGGGCTCACTGAGAACAGGATTATTTTAGGATATAGTAAAAGCTATTTTTATTTTATCACCTCCATCATTATTGCAGTAAGAAGACAAAATCCAGGACATTTAAGCAGCCTCTGAAAAGACTTATATGGAGGACTGGCTCCCTGGCAGCTGCAGGGATGAACAGAAAGGGGGCTGGTCATAGTTTCTGTTCTGAAGATCACGGCGATAAGCCTGGCACTTGGCCACCAGCTTGCTTTTTACTTTAATGTCACCTGTGCTCTTTTCTCTTATTCATCTCATTCCTTATCTTCCACCCAGGATAATTTTAAGTGACTAAATCTTGACCCCAGCTTCAGCACAGGGAGTCACCTTCATTCTTTTTCTCCCTCCTTTAGGGAGAACTGGGGGCTGGCTACATCGTGCCTTATACAGGGGTTAGAAGCAGCCCAGCCCAGGGGCTAAGCTTCCTGGATCCTACATTGGTTCAGCTATAGGCCAGCTGTGTGCCTGACCTTCTGGGCCTCAGTTTCCTTCTCTACAGAAGAGGGACTGCTCCAGATCTGGAAAGCATCAATTCTTCAGAGCAAGAAAGCTCAAGTCATGCTCACAGCACCACCTACTGGTGCTTTTTTGGAAGTGTTCACAGCTTGCAGGAATTTTGAACAAATGTTTCCCATTGGTAAGCTGGTGTCCCAAGGGCCTTCTCTTTCCAATAAATCCCTGATGCATATGGCTAGTACCTAAGGAAAAAATCATAGCAAGGCTCCCTCCTGTCACCAGATTGCCTCCTGTTGCCCTCTCCAGGTACAGTGTATAGCGGTGAGCCCTACCTGTTTGTCTGGCAGACCCCATGATAGGCCTCAATGGCATCTTCCTGGTCCACATGCTTTTCACTGTTGGGCCAACTTGTTCTGGCATTAATGCTTGGCTCCTAGAAGATCCCAGATTTTAAAAAAAGACTCTGGTTATACAAACAACTGTGAGGAAATGTCTTTCTATACAGAGGTATAAAAATGTGCTTTGGGGGAAAGAAAGAGGACGATCCGGAGAAACTCATAACTGTTGTTACATTCAGGCAGGAACATGACTTCGAAAGGTTGCCTTGGATGGGAGGACACAACAAGGGTGTGAAGCACGGAGAGCAAGCAGTGGGAAAGGATGGCAAGGACAGTGTTCCTGGGAGGAGAGAGCACCCTATGTTCAGAAGACATGATTCAAATCTGGTTCCATGTTGGATCCTCAACACAGGTAACTAAATTACCTCATCCCCCAAGCCACCCCAGAGTGGCCCAACCTATTAGAGCCTATGAAATAACCCAGATGGCCTCGGTTCCTTTCTTCTCACTACACCAGCTATCCCCGGAAGGTGACAGCATTAGGAACAACCATGAAGTGGGACCCACCAACCTTCAAGGGATGAGAGAGAATTCTCCTCAGAAACAAAGTGAACAGTAAGTGGCATACCATGAAAAAACAAAGCCACCACAGGTGACATGTCTATGTCTTGTTCCTTTTGATCATGTTCTCAAAAATTAAAAAAATTATATGCATATGAGTGTGTGTGGGTTTGTGAAGTGAATGTACTGCTCACAGAAGCCAGAAGGGGGCACTGGATCCCCTGGAGCTGGAGTTCCAGGCAGTTGTGAGTCAATTGACGTGAGTGCTAGGACTCAAACTTGGGTTTTCTGCAAGAGCAGTAAAGTGCTCTTAAAACACTGACCCATCTCTTCAGCACCCTCAATCACTTTCTTAACCTCAGGAGATTCTAGAAACTTCTAGTTCAATTTCTTTAAAAAGGTTATGCTGGAAGGGAATCAGGCCCCTTGTGCAGCCTTTGGAAGAGACTCCAAAGAAAGAGCCTCTGCTATTTCATGCTTAAGACCCTCATGAGTAAAGATACATAAGAAAACAGAAGCCTACTGCTTATTGTGGCCCCCACAAACCAAACACGGCTGCCATCTCGTTACCATGTTCTTGCTGACAAGTCTGTGCTGGTCAGCATTCACAATCTGGGTCCTGAGGATCAGCACCTCCTCTTTTCGGACCTCGAGCTCCTCATTGGCCAGCTTGAGCTGGTTCAGCAGGAGGCTGTAGCTGTCTGGGGAGCTATGGGTGGAGTTGTTTTGTACAGCTTGGTCAGCTACTGCCTTTCTCAGCTCATTTAGATCATTCTTCAGCTTCTTGTTTTCCGATTCAAGCTCTTGTCTCTGCAAGACAAGCCAAGAGGCACAGTTGCTACTTCCCGAATTCACTCTTCCCAGGTAGGCTCCCTCTTCGCTTGCCTTAACTTTCCCAGTTAGCAGGAAGATCAACTTCCCTATTTTAATAAAGACACACAAGGCAAAAATTCTGATGGCATCAGTAGGCAGTCAAAGCTAGGGCTTGGATTTGAACCCATGACCCCAAGTTATCAGAGTGAAGCATCTGACACAATATCTCTATAGTATTCTCCAGCGACTCAATATATGTCTTGAGCACATTTGGCCATGAAACCCTTCTACTTGAAAATGCAGGGCTGACAACTGTGTGTATATGTATATACACACATATGTAGTGCTGGAAATCAAAGCCAGGGCTCCATGCAAGCTAAGCCCTACCTCCAAGCTGACAATTGTAAACAACATGCTGTTAATATAGGACTTCCTAGAACCTTTGTGTGTTCACATGCTTTGTGACTTTCCTAGAGACTATGGAATGAAAGCTTTCCTAAAATTTGTCTTGAGAGTGCCATGCCTTTCAAGGGGCATCACATGAACTAATCATTTGGAGAATATATTAGGAACACTGCATTGTTATTTTGGCCAGCACTGTTGATGCCAGCAAAGGTAAACTACCAGTCTTAACAGCCTAAAACATTGAAACTTATCTTTGAAGAACATTTCATATTTCTGATTAGTATGCTAAACTCTGAGACACAGCCTGATAATTTAAAGTCTTATAATAAAACATAAATTGCTGCAAGGGCTCTGGTGTAGATGGAACTCAAAATTTCCAAAATAAAACAAAAAAAGTGGTATGTTTGTTAGTGCCACAATATGACAGAGACGGACCCCCCTGGAAAGAATCACTAGTATCTGAGTGAGGAGACTGAGTACAGGGAGGTGAAGGTCACAGTGAGTTAATTGCCTTGACCAGGGTGACAACAGATACAACGTGAATAAATTTTGAACACATGAAGCTAAATGTCACGAACTGGTCACAGGGAGAAAATATCACACGAGTCCACTTACATGAAGCATCTAGAATATTTCAAAGAGATAGAAAGCAGAATAGTGGCTGTAAGGGGCTCTGGATGGGGAGGAGGGGAAGTTGTTGAGTGGAGATAAAGTTTTGGTTTTGCAAGATGAAGTTTCAGAATTCATGGATGGTAGTGATCTGCCTGTACATTATGAACGTCCTCTACAGGACTGAACTGTATAAACACTTAAAATAGTTAAGATGGTACATTTTATGTGATGTATATGTTACTGCAGTGAAAGATAGTTTGTGGGGGAGCCACAGAAATGCCTCAAGGCTGTTTTCCTAGGTTATGGCCATTGGCAGAGTTATTAGTGATTCTATAAGGGATTGGCAGGCTGGTGAACTTGCCACATCACTAAGTCTTTGGGAAAGAAGACTCTGGTCTGATGTGGCTCCCCTGCTATGGAGCCAGGAAGTCCCTGGACCTGAAGTCTCCATTGTTGTCATTTCCTGTCAGGCCAGCACCTGATGCAGGGATACCCCCTTAATCTGGATATTTTTTCAAAGTGATTTTATTCCTGTGGTCATATTTTATTTTAACTGAATTGCATCAGGTAGGAAAGGCACATTTCTTGGGATAAATTTTCCTTCATTTCAAAGATAAAGATGCAGAAATGTGGAAAGGAAGTTACTTGCTTACTGCCCTACTGATCGTCAGTCTGAAGCTTAGGACTTGGTTTCCTGATGCCCAGCTTTGCCACTTGTTCTCTACTGAAGGACAGACAGCCTTACCTTCAGACTGTTATAGGCTAGATCTGCATCCTGGTCCACATCTATGTCATTCTTTGGTTGTTCCATCTGCACAGGCAAGGACAGAATGGTAAGCATAGCTCACAGGCCATATATATATGCTCCACAGAAATTTCTGATGATGGCCAAACTTTCTCATTCTACTTTTACATGAATAGATGGAAATCTTACCCTCCACAAGTATATTCCCTGCCCTCTTCAGAAAGTGGACCAATTCTCAGGCTACCCTGAAGCTCTCCATAAGCAACTCGCTCCTGCTCAGCTCCCATTTTGCCACATGATACCAACAGGCACTGACAGGCTGAGTATGTATAACAAACATTGTGGTATGGGTTGAATTGTGCACTCTCCTATACATTTAAGTCCTAACCTCCTCCACCTGTGAATGTGACCTTATTTGGAAATTGGGTCTTGGGTGAATCATAATGCCATAGGACTGGTGTCCTCATAAGAGGAAAAGATACACGGGGAAGATGAACATATTAAGATGGGGGCATGATTGGAGTCAGCTGTAAGTCAAGAATACCAAGGATTGCCAGCAACATCAGAAGCCAAGATAAGGGATTGGGACAAGTGCTCCCCACAGCCTTCAGAACACAGCCATTTCAAAACCTTCATTTCTGACTTCTGGCCTCTGGAACTATGAGAAAATGACCTTTGTTACTTAAGTGGTTTAGTTGGTAGTATTTTGTTTCAGCAGGCCTAGGAACAGTAAAACCTGAATATAAGCAAGATTAATATACTGTATCAGGTATGTGGGGGTATGTACTCATGAGTCTATTTCCTAGGTAACTCAAAGCACCTTGCACTGGAGTTGCACCTCTACGGCCCTCTAATAAGGCAGCTGGCTCACAGTACATTCTTAGTACATGCAGCCTGCCTTCAGAATGCCAGAGAGCATAGTGTCTGTGGGCAGAAATGAATGGAACACCAAGCCCAGAGGATGTGGGTCAGCCAAGGACTCCTATGATTATATGGCAGCTATTGGAGTTGAACTGTATGATGAGAAGGGGTACAACTTAAGTGGATAATTGCCTGGGGTGAGTTTAAGTAGCTGAGGCATTCCTGAAGAACATGGGTCTTTAAAACTAAAACCTAATGAAGTTACCTACAGGCTAGCAACTTGAAGTCCAGGCTATCACTGACTGGAGATGGATGGGGTGCCTGTGGTTTAGAGGGAGCATTTCCTAAAACCTTTTTCAGATGAAGGACATATACATTCACTGCATTGTTTCCAGCCCTATAAATTGGGGAACATCTCTGCCAGGGTACCAACTTCTGCCTTGCCTCCCTCTATCACATTATAGGGGATCTGATTTACCTGGGTCAGCCCTCTGCCTGCTGCCTGGTAAGAGGCCTGCACTTATGTTATGTGTAGCACAGATTCACTACACAACAACCTCTAAATGTTGATTTGACTACATTAGATGCTCAGAGATTGAAGATCATGTAAGTGTAAGGGGCCATGTAAGCCATGTCTCTAAGTTTACAGTCCACTGGAATCACCCTAATCTGCCAAGTGACTTTTCCGGTCTTAGGAAAAGAACTGGATAAATGGGAGCTCTAACATTGACTGGCTATTACTTACTCACAGTAAGTAAGGCAATCATTCCACACGGATGGAACATCCCATAGACTTCCCAGTCAGTCTACATTCAGTGTATTGCCTCTAGGGCTGGGGACCTAGTGGCTACGGATTCCTCTTGGGACCAAGGGAAAACTCAGAAATTTGATCTCTGGAAGCTTAGTCTCAGGGAACAATAGGAGATTTCTGCCCTATTCCTGTGCATCTTACTCAGCTGTCAGAAACAAAGTCATTCTTAAGGAGGGGGGAGAGGGGGAGGGGGGAGAGGGAGAGGGAGAATGAGAGAGAGAGAGAATGAGAATGAGAATGAATCATGGACATCACTGTTCTAATGCTTGCTTCAGCAATTATGTTTTAGGAAAACAGATACCCTTTCATTTGGTATCCAGACAAACAAGTTCTGAGTTTCTAAGTTTCCAAAATAATTAGGCATTTCTGCAATGAGGATTCCAGAAAATGAATCTTTAGGTACAGTAGCAGAACCCAGGAACTTCTTTGTCAGACAATGTCTGATGCCATCTGTTTTTCCATATACAGATGGTCTGTGACTTATGATGGCTGACTTAGACTCCCTCAACTTTAGATGGCACAAGAGCAATTCATCTTCACTAGAAATTGTACTTCATTTTGAACTTTGATCTTTTCTCAGGCAACTGATGGCTATAAGGTCCTCATCAGTAATACAGGGACGGTGCCAGCAAGTCACATGTCCCCAGAATCATGGGGTACACTGCCCCCAAGTTAGGGTGTTTGGAAGTTTGAGAGGATTACAGGCATTTTGACTTTGGAGATTTTCAACTTATAATGAGTTTATTGGGATGTAACCCCATCATCATCCATCTGTACAGTATTTGATCTGTGCTCCTCTGTCAGGGCAGCTTCCCTTTACAATTGAATGAGTCATTTACAGACCCAATGCTTTCACTCTCTACCTGAGAGATTTAAGCTGGTCCACCAGCAAGATTCACCTCTTTACTTACTGCTCAGTTAAGAAAAAAACAAAAACCACCACAACAAAAATCAAGAATTTGACAGCGAGCTAGACCTGAGCGTGCACCACATTTGACTGGAAAGGGAAGACAGGTGTTATGAAAGGAGACTTTGGGTACAGGTGGGAGGTAGAAGTGGGTCAAGGAAATGGGGAGAGTGTCAAGTCCCAGGATTTGCAACTCAGGCCTGAGAACAGATCAGCTAGTGATATAACCCAGAACTGGACTCCAATTCCATGAGAAGTGCTCCTCACAACTTCAAAGTAAGAAAGAGCAGTTCTTACCTCCCACTGCTAGTCAATGGCTCGCTGCCGCTGCAGCACCAACTGTAATCAACTTTGCATTCACATATGCACTAGCAATGTTCATTTTTATTTTTCACCTGTGTTATGCCTGCTACTCCCAAACTTGATTTAAATTCCCCAGTGACTAAGGTTTTCTCTTACATTTTTATCTCCTCTCTTAAAAGTTTTTTGGTTGGAGAGAGAGAGAGAGGAGAATGCACCACACTCATGGTGTGAGTGTGGAAGTCAGAGGGACAACTTACAGGAGTCAGTTCTCTCCTTCTACCATGTGAACTCCCTAGGCTCAAACTCAGGTCAAGAGGCTTGGCTGCAATTGTCTTTACCCACCAAGCTATCTTGTTGGCCCCCTCTCCTCTCTTGTAATATATACTTTTCATATTTGCTATGAGTCTGACACTGGCTTAGTCCTGTGTGTGTAGCCTAGGTGGTCCAAAAAGCCCCTGAGACAAAGCAATTACTTTGGGGCACAAAGTTTCACAGATTCAAGAGGATAAGGACAATTTGGACTGTGGTGAGGGCATAGCCATGGGCAAAAAAGGGTGAAGAACTGCACTAGTCGCCTGATCCTGAACCAGGAGTGGGGCTGAGATCATGCCAGATTCCAGGTATCAAAGGGTGGTAGACTTTCTCTGCTAAACATGACTTCTTGTATTATTTTTCTACTGCACCCCCAGTCCTCCTGGCACGAGCTCCCATCTTTGTAAATGGGGGTGAGGAGATGATGACAGACTCTACGCAGCTTTCCAGTGGCAAGCCTTTGCTCCCGGACACTGAGGGAATATAGCCTACCCAGAGGCAGTGGTGTGGGACACTCACAGGGGAGACTCCAACAGAGGAAGAAGGCTCTCTGAAATCTAACACCATCAAGAGCCCATGGATCACATCTCCTCCGTGGGCCCTAATGGGCCGGAGCTGTCACGCACCTGCACTTTCTTGCTGTCCTGTTGCTCCTTCTTCTCCAGCTGTGCCTGCAACTTCTTCCTCTCCTGTTCAAGCTCCCGCACTCTCTTCTGCAGCTTCAGGAAAACTGCCATGTCCATAGCTGCCTTCTCCATGCCAATCTCCTGCAAAGGAAGAAAGGTTCATGGAAGGTGGCTTTCACAGTGCAAACGCATCGGGGAACACACAATGCCTTGTTGCCCACCACTGTATCAGCCATCTGTTTCCTTGCTCCTCCCAGATCTATCCACGCCTCAAACACAAAGCCAGTGCCAGTCCACTAGCATTTCTCATATGAAAGCCGGTGCCTCAGGCTCATTCTCTGTCTAGATAATATCTGTGTCTGAGCCATTTACATTCCTCCTGTGTGAACCACTTAATTGACCAATCACATTTCCTAAGAACAAATGGATACAGGCACAGCCATTTTCTTTGGAAGCGAAAAGGAAACCCACTTCTAGACAATGGCATAACACCACAGAAACTATAAATCTGGGGATACAGTGCTCCCTGAAGAGGGATCACTGGTCGCTAGTCACTGTAAATGTGTTGCCAACCACTACTTCATTGCACCTTGAAACACAATCAACACTCACCCTGCCGAGGAACGCATTTCTCCAAAAGATCTTAAGGCATCAATTTCCCAGTGTATTTTTGTTCCTTCAGACTGATGTCTGAATTGTGCTAGGTGGGGTATGTATGTGTATAAATGTATATCTGCTTGGGAATGGGTATATGAATACATATACAGCCTGTATTTAACTATACTACACATATGTGGCAATGTGATCTGGTTCAACCCCACGAAAAGAGTGCTTTGTGCTTGGTCTCATCAGGATCAGTCTTGCTGCCTTAAAGAACAGACTAGGGGATAGCAGTGCCTATATCTGCACTGAAAAGTCCCCACACAAATGTAGCTGCTGTGACACTGCTGTGACATTGCCAGGTCCAGTCTGTAAGTCTACTGCATCCCAGTGATCCTGTTCTCAAGGACTGTCCCCTGGGCCCTGTAGCCACCACCAACAGAGCAGTATATCTCTGTTGGGCAGTTCTAGATAGGTAATCGACACATCCCTGGGCAGGACAGCTGCCAATAGCTCTCTGACTTACCTCCACCTGCTGGAGGGCATCTTCAGTGTCTCCAATCTCAGAGGTGGAGATGGAAGGGTAATTGGAGTCCGATTCTAAGCTACTCTGGTTTGATGGGTTCCGCCTGTGGCCTGGGGTTTGCTGTTAAAGTAGAAAAATGTGATAACTCATAAGCAACACATGTTAATTAACTTCTCAAGGAGCAGCAGGCTCTGCCTCACTTGTCCACAATGATGGGCAGTATTGCTCCTTGGAAAAAAGACTAAACAGAGCGATTTCTATGATGTTAGGTGAACACTCTACCATGGAGCCACATGTCCAGCCCTTCCATTGTCTCAGTATTTTACAATCCATAACACTCAGTGAGAGGACAGCGCTTCATTCTGGTCTTGCCCTTAGAGTGCACACAGCATGCATGCTCCCTGCTCCCCTCTTTGGTTTTGAAAAGACTGCGGCAAACTTACCCAATCTCTCCTCTCTCCCAATTTTGCTCATAAAAATAGTCATATACTAAAAACAGAGTGCACTTTCCATACTGTTCATTTGAAAATACCTTTCAGTTTATTTTTTGGCATCTGATTTGTCTTTCAGAGTGAAAATCGAGTTTGGTGGAAATTTTTAGATTTCTATTTTAGTTCCTATTCAGCTTCTGTTCCTGGTTTCCATGCAACTAACTTATTGATGTTGAATATGCATATTGGGAGGGAGCATTTACATGGGTACAGAAGAATGACAAATTCTGAAATGTCATGAAAATATTCTGCATTTTGTCAGAGACTGGGGCAGTTTATCCGGCCCCATGAGTCTTTCTCCACATGCACCAATGCAGCAGAGGTCAGAGCCTACCACACCATCACTGTCTCAACACTGGAATCTTCCAGAACAAGAAGCAAAAGGGACAACATATACACACAGGCCAACTGTCCTTAAACTGCTAAGATTTTCATAAGATCTCAACATTGGGAAAGGAAGCATCCTTAGGAGGGAACCACCCAGCCTACAGCTTCCTATTACCAAGTTTCTATGGAAACTTATGAATAGGTGGCCCCCCAGAACCACGGATATTTCCTGAGCAGTCAGTGGTGCCTAAGGGCAAAGGGCTACAAACCAGGTTTAAAAGGACTGAAAAGAAAGCTGTTGCCATGGGGCAGCAGAACTGCTTTCCTTGCCTTTATGATGGTCATTTCGTCTCGAAGGTTGTCATATCTCTGCTCCAACAGGGAGTATTCCTTCACAAGGTTCTGGTACCTGGACCGTTCTTCCTCTAGCTCCTTCTTCATCATGAGGTTCTCCTCCACAGAGTTCTGGGCAAATTCAGCTGGAAAGAAGGCATGGGAAACCGGGTTTTGGCATCTAAGTGGATCTGTACATGCGCATGAGTTGCCAGGAGCTTTCTGACTAATCTCTTGTTAAGAGGCTGCACACTCCAGGCTCATCCCAGAGGCAGTGGATGAGTCTGACGCTCCTCACCTACTGTGGAGCTGAGGAGGGGCTCTTTACTCCGACCTGTCTTCAGATAGGAAGACTCTGCTCTCAGGGAGGTGGGAAGAGAAAAGTCTCAACTCCCACCCAGTTCCTGTACCCCCCTCTCTAGCAACAAACTGCCTAGGGGAGCTGGCAGCATTCCTGAAGAACCAGGCTTTGTTCTACATTTTCTTTGCTATTCCTGATCTTTCAGGTTCTTGGAGTGCAGGGAGATTAAAAGCCAAGGTCAAAGGTAATGTGTGGGGAAGCTGAAAAGGCAGGTAAGAAACTCAGAAGGAATTTCCCCTGCCAAACCTCACATTTACAGTAAGAGAAAAGAAGTATTTTTTTTTTTTTTTAAGGGCAATTTGAAAACATCTTATATTTTCATAAGATCTTAAGCTGGCAGGGATTGTGAGGTCAAGGTGTTCAGCTGCCCTGTGACATGGGTGAGGACCTTAAGGATGAGAGGAGATATGGTTACCCTGAGCAGACAAGAACTGGGATTTATGGGCTCTACTGTCCCCCCACAGTCAAGTGACCTGTGGGGATGGACGGCAGACCAGGAGTTGATGGGCACTTGAGAGATGCTGACCTGGATCTAATTAAAGACCCCGTCTTCAGCAAACATTAAGACGACACTTTGGTCACAGACATAGGTACTAAGGATGTGAAAAGACAACTGTAAAAGTAGCACATGAGTGCTGACCATGTGCTGGGCATTCTACCTGCACATTTACATTTTGCTCATTATCCTCTAATGAATCCCCAACCCCTTTCCTGTCCATTTTTCAAATGAAAAAGCTGGCACCTGCTCAAGACCACAGGGTCATGCTTTGGCATAGGTCTTCTGAAACCCCACCTTCCATATATGGTATTATACATTAAGTACATGTTCCCCCACAATGTGCTCCGAACAAAATATCTCAGGATTAAAATTCACCCTCCTCCTCTCCATCTCTTCTTTAGTAAGCCCTTTCCACTTTGTACCATCTAAGAGCCTGGGGAAACCAGTAAGAGGCATTTAAAGCTGGTTTGGAGCTTACCTTTTGATTGGTGCAGGATTTGGTTATTAAGTTGCTCTTTCTGATCTTTTAAGAGAGAATTTTCTTGTTCCAAGTCTGCAACTCGCTGAAAGAGATCAACAGGTAAAAATATTCCTCTGTTGTGTTAAACAAAGAAAAGTGGGGTTGGAATTCTGATGGGTTATGGATAAAAATACTTAAGACAGGGGTGGTGGAACATGCCTTTAATCCCAGCACTCCAGAGGCAGAGGCAGGCAGATCTCTGTAAGTTTGAGGTCAGCCTGGTCTCCACAGTGAATCCAGGCCAGCTGCAGCTACGGGATGACCCTCACTCAAATAAACCAATAAATGTCATAAATCATATAAATGTACTCAAAGACAAGAACCACATGGCCATCTTATAGATGCAAAGAGGGCCTTTGACAAAATTCAACTTGCATTTATGTTCAAAGTCCTAGAGGGAACTGGACTGGAGGGAACATACCTCAACATAATTAAAGCCATATAAACAAACCCATAGCCAACATCATTCTAAATGGAGAAAAACTGGAA